GGAATACAGCCTTGTCACGCGTGATCTGGCATTCAAATAAGTGCGATTCATTTTTTTCCCAGGGGCATTTACCAACCAATTCTTATGTATTCATATCCAACATATAAATTTAATTTTTCATTTGCAGTCCTAGTTTATCTAAAAATTAATAAATTTTATTATTTTATTTAAATACATCATAAAAATTTAATATATAAATATTATGTTAAAATTATTTATTTATTATTTAATCAATTCAAACCAAAGCAACCAAATAAGAAAGAACAAACATTTATTAGTGTTCAACTGATTTATAAATCAAGTTCAAAAAAATTATTTGAGTTGGCATATTTGTTTAACAAACGAATCAAACAAGAACTCAATGAGCCAAACATCAACTGTTTGCAAATGAAGAACTTTTTTGGCATGTTTGTTCAACACCATCATCTTGGATTCCAGTATATTAAACTTTTTATTTTTTAAAGGATTCGGTGAGAATGTCAGCTAGTTGATCCTGAGTGTTGATATGGTGAATTTGAAGTAGTTCCGATTCGATATTATCTCTAATAAAATGATAATCAATCTCTGTATGTTTAGTTATGACAGGATTACCGGGTTATTTGCTATTCACTGCAGAAGTCCCATGTCTTTGATGTGAAACCATGACTGCAGCTTTGCATTTGAGACTCGTGATAGCATAAGTGTCATCCCTTGTGATGAGAATATCGACATAGAGTACGACATAAATGCAGTGGCTGTTTTGATGAAAAACTAGCAAAAATGTATCTGCTTTACTAAATTCAAATCTAACGTAAACGAAGAATGCTGACAGTACCGCAAACCACTGCCATGGGGATTGTTTAAGACCATAAGGCCTTTTGGAGAAGGCATACATGATTAGGAAGTTGTGGATCAATGAATCCAACCAGTAGTTACATGTGGACCGTTTCTTGAAGTGGCTCGTGTAGGAAAGCATTAGGATACATCAAATTTGAAGATAGGCCACTATTTTTGGAAAGAAACAGTGAAGAGGATTCAGGAAGCGGGCATCTTCACAACAGGGCTAAAGGTATCATGGTAATTGATACCAAATTGTTGTTTATAATCCTATGAAACCAAACGTGCCTTGTATCTTGTTACCGATCCATCTGAATAGACTTTTGTACAATAGATCCACCAACATCCCAGATCTGGTTATCGTGATAGTTGTCTAGTATTTTTGGAGGACACACGTATGATAAGGTATGTAGATGTAAGAAGTGTATCCACCCAAAATTAAAGGGTTAAAGTAACATCAGAAGGTAATATAAGGGTAGTTTCAATCATGTGGCAGTGTTTCCTCTCCGTAATTCCTTTCTATTTTGGTTTATGTGAGCATGAAAATTGGTGTAGAAGGTCATGATCAGAAAGAAAATTTGTGAGACTATTATTGCTATATTCTCCACCACCATCAAATCTCAAGACACCAATGGTGGAATGGAATTGGGTATGAACCATTTTTAAAATTGCAATTCATATAGTTGTAGTTCCAGCTTTCGTCCTCATAGGGAAAACCCACATAAATTTGGAGGCATCATCAATGAACAAAACATAATATCAATATCCTTGATGAGATATAATAAAGGATGGACCCCATACATTCATATGAATAAGTTGAAAAGGAGATTATATGTTTGAAGAAGTGTAACCAAACGGTTGTTTGTGACTTCGACTAATAATACAACTCTAACGGCATTGAGTTTGAGATCATATTCCTAAAGCTGGATTTTCTTTGACCAAAAAAACAAACTCTTGGCTAGGACTAGGGGAGTAAACGAGCTGAGCCTTCAAGCTCAAAAGGTGTATTCGTGTTCAGCTCGTTTGCTTAGCGAACCGAACATGAGCCGTTCACGAACAAAGATTCGTTTTGACAACCCTAATCAGAAAGCCATAAAATGTTAAGGATTTGGGCAAGATTTAAAAATTATTGTTTATATTAAAACATCATTTGAATCTAATTTAATAAATTTTATTATATTTTCTTAATTAATACTTATAATTGATTATAAATCTTTATAGCCTTGTAGTCAATTAAGTTTTTAAAAAATACTACTCATCAAATATATATATATATATAT